AGGGTCTTGGAGGTGTTGTCGGGGGGTTTGGGGCAGTGAGGTGGTCCGATCGGGCTCCAGGACGCTGAGCCCGGCTGCTGGGGAGGGTGGAGCCCAAGCCCAGCATCAGGGAGACTCCTGCCTCTCGGCATCCCCCAGCCCTGGTTTTGCGCTTAGGCCAAAGCTGGCTGCTGAACCCCTGCCGGGGGCCGGGGCTCGGCTCTGTACTCCAGGACCCCACGTCCCACCGGCTCTGGCAGCCAGCACCGACCCCACGGCGCCGAGCCGGCCTCATCCAGGGAAGGGGTCCCTCTTACTCTACCGCGCAGCCGCGCTGTGTGGCGGGGGCCCGCGGCTCTCACGCCTGAGCCGACGCCTCTCCACCCGCGGCCTGTGTCGGGGAGACGCACGACTCGGGAGTCCCGAGGTCTGAGAAGGCAGCAATTCAAGGCCTCGATCGCGGGCTTAAACCAGAATGTCCGTGCCTCCAGCTCCTTCTAGGTTTTAAGTAAAGAAATAAAACGACAGGTTCAAGCCTGTCCTCGGAATGTCACACAGCAGCAGCAGAAGCCTACCCGTGCCCACGTGGAACCAAGGGGTGGAGACTTTTGAAGGTACAAACGTCACTCCTCAGCTGCTCCCGAGCCCAGGGCTCTGACACGGGCAAGGTCGTGGCTTCCGGGTCCGACTTATCGGACCCCTGTCCGCCTCCCTCCTGCAGGACCGGCGGGGCTCCCGTCCCTCGGTGTTAGGGCAGCTCTTAAATGCCCTCAGGTGGCTTTCCAGGGCACCGTAGCAGCAAAAGCCCATAATTCATTTCCTGCCTTGCCCCAATCCAGGAATATGTGAGACTTGGCAGAAACTCCAAATTCCTTTCACATATTTCCAGGGAAAGCAGGAGAAGAACAGGCAGGTTCCCGCCCCTTTCTGCCACTCTGTTAGCTGCCTTGGGCGGGTTTCTCAACTCGGGTAAGTTTCCACTTCCTTGCCTCTAAAATGTAGACAACAATACACACCTCACTGCAGACCACGTGTATAACGTGAAAAGCAATTTGTAATGCGTGGTCTTGTGACCCTGTGAACACGGCGACCCTCACAGTCACTGTTTATTAGGAAATGGGGAGCTAGCAGGGACACTGTGAGGGAACACCTCACCTCCGATATTTTATGGGGCAGGAAAATCGGGCCAGGCTGGGCCATCTGAGTCCACCGTTGACTTGCCACGTGACCGCAGGCAAACCTCTTGAACCTTAAGAAAGAGGTAGTAAAAGTCTCCGCTGACTCCCTGGCAGACGCGAGCAGAGCTTCCTTACGTAGAAGCTGTGTGGCTCGGGGTGAGTGACCTCACATCTCTGAGCCGTAGGTGTCCACCTGTGCTCTGGGCGTATTCATGCCATTCCGTAGATGAGCTGAGATAAATGCACGGGGAATGCTGAGCACAAAGGCCGGAGTGCGGACAGCATTCAGTAGGCACCAGGTAGCTGGCAGAGGTGGAGGTGCTGGCATAGCTTCGGAGCATGCCCAGGCCCCTGGGAGCCTAGCGCCTGAATTCTTCCGCACCTGGGTGCTGGGCAGACCTAGTCTGAGCTCTGCCTCACCTGGGCCCTATGCTGTGCCTGTGATCTTAGACCACCCCAGGGGCCCCTCTGGGTAGCCACGGGGACCACCAAGCCCGCACTGGCCCGTCCATGGGGCAGGCGACTCCTCTGTGTGCATCCTCAGAACACCCAGCTGGCACTGGCATGTGCTTCCCTGCAGGTGACACCTGTGACGGAGCCTCCAGTGGAGTCCCCTGTAGAGTAGCCTGGGGGTGACCGAACGCACACTCAGCGCCCCTCGGGCAGGAGCCCTGGCGGCAGCGCGTTGCTCTGGCCTCTGGCCGCCCTGAGGACTTCCCGCCTGCGGCAGAAGCTGCCTCTCTCTAGAGTGAGGGAGGCAGCCGAGGACCACGAGTGGGGCTCTGAGCATCCAGGGGTCTCAGTGTCCTTGGGTGAGCAGTAAATGATCACGGTAAACTAGGTTCTTTCCAAGAAGATGGCGTTATTTGTGTTATGGGGACAGGGATTCCGAAGGCAATTCCAAAAGAGGAATTTTAATATTTTGAGCTATTGCCGCATTATTATTCAAGCACGTGGGCTGTGGTCCCCCAAGAGGAACATACTTCAAAGGCTTTTCTTGTTTGTTTTGTTAAAATCCCACCTCATCCCTGCCTTGCTGCAGTTCCTCCGCACAGAGAGTCCGTTTCTGACGGTGGGTGATCACCTGGCAGAGCTGTGCTGGCCGACTGCGCCCAGGGGTGAGGGTGAGGCCAGGGCTTGGCCTGGGGGCGTTTCTGATGGGGTTAGCATGCTGCCTCCCCCACAGTGCACATGCGGTGGGACCAGGTAGCAATAAGTCACCTTCAGAGACAGGTGGTACACAAGACCTTGCCTTTCCGTACGGCCTGTCTGCAGTCAAGGATTCCAAGCGGTGGGGAGGACGGGCCTGGCTGCCACGTCTGAAGAGCCCCGAGGAATTCTAAAAGCCTGTGGATGCTGAGCTTGTTGGTGGAGACTGGTCATGCACGGGGGGGTTTAAAAATCTCTTCAGGCCACAGTCGTATAGCTGGCGCCTTGTGTGAATGCGCACACGTGTATGCACGTGTGTGTTTTGATCACTACATTACTCCCCCCGTATGGTGTTCACATGCAGTAGGTGCTATTTCCACACTGAGAAACAATCTCGAATCACTTCTGCTGTGTCGTATTTGAATCAAGAAGATTCAACATTAGATAATAAAACGAATCACCCATACGGTGCTGAAGTTGTCTCAGGCAAGGACAGGGCAGGGCCAGCAAATCCCCAGGTTGACAACAGACCCAGGGCGGGGGAGGGCGGGATGGAGAACACAGACACCGCCTTCTGTGTGTCTGCCTGCTTAGGATCATGCCTGAGCCTCTCACGTAACTCCCCGGGCACAGAGTCCACGGGGCACACCAAGGGACAAGCCAGGGTTAGGTAGAGCCCATGGAGCCCACTCTGGGGCCTCTGCTCTTCTGCCGGGAGCTGCCTCCTGGCCGCCCAGGTGCCCGGCGCTCGGCCACCCTGGGCCACAACTCCAGAAGGCGGGCGGCAGATGCAGCCAGCCTCGACTTACACCATCCACAGCTCTGTCTGGGCAGCTGGCCCGGCCCTGCTCTCAGATGAGAGATGCACAGTGATGCTTTAATAAGTATCCTCATCAGTTCAGCCTGAATTCAGCTGGTTTCCACAAACCTATAGTGAGTGGTTACTCGGTGCAGGGCAGGGAGGGATGGGACACCGTGTCAGTGCCGAGGAATCCAGGCCAGAAGTGGTAATTCAGGCTTGGCCCTGGCTCCAGCGGCTACTTTCCTTGGCCAGTTGGACGGGCTTCCAACCGGCTTCCAACCGGCTTCCCACCTGGTGGCAGGAGGAAGCCGCGGGCATTGACGGCGGCGGCGCGCCCTCTCGTGGTCAGTGTTGGTATTGACGGACGGCCCGCTTGCTCAAGGTAGTTCCAGGCTTTGAAAAATAAATAGCATTTCAGAGAAACTTCACATTGGAGGAAGATAACATTTTTCACAACGGAGGCCATACCAGGCCCAGTTTCCCCCTTAAAAATGTTAAACAACGCAGCTTAAGGCCCCCTGAAAATCCCCTGCTGGCCAGTCCGGGGCTCTGCCAAGGGTTCCTTAAGAGATCCCCACGTGACACCTGGCGGAGAGCTCAGGTGAGGCGCTGATTCCGCACCCACGGGCTCGCTGAGATCTCACAGCGCTCCCTTATCGGATTTCCGAGCAGCGCGAGGCCAGGAGGAGGGGCCGCTGCCAATGGCGCCTGCCCCGAGGAAAAGAGGGACGCGGCCTCCGGCCCCTGTGCCCTGGGCACGGCCAGCGCCCTTCCAGGCAGGTGCTAACTCCGGCCAGGTTCGGAGCAGGTGCTCTACCCCTGGGGGCACGAGAGCGGGCTCTACAGCGCTGCCTGTGCTGGAGAGACGTCCCCTCTGTGCAATCCCAGGGGTCTGTCTGATTATATTTAGAAAATAAAAAACTGGAGGGGGTTTCGAAAAGGCTGGGGCGAGGCAAAGGCATCATGCCGAATATTCACTGCAACCTCAGCTGGGACTCGAAGACAGGAAACCCGATGTCTGTATTCTAGGTGACTCTTAAAGTAGGTTCGGCTTATTCACGAGCAAACTGGATTCAGGCAGTAAACAGAAATATGAAAACAAAGTATCTTATCGAGCCATCTGTTATTCAGAAAAAGCTTGGCACGTCATCTCTTCTATGTCAGCACATTTACTTTTATTATTTTTTACATTTCTTATCTGTAATTAATAGCCACTAGGCTTGGAATGACTGGCTCAACAAACTCGAGCACGATCCCGAGAAAAGTAAGGAGTGAAGGGTGTTGCGCACTAAGGAATCTTCACGACCAAGGGCCCTACCTTGCTTCAGTTGCTCAGGAAGATGCTCTTTAGGGGGTATGTGATTAGGCGCGCCGGGATCCCACTTAGGAATTGTGCGCTTAACCTTACGGTTTTCATTTTCCTTCCATCCCTAAAATAGACCTGTTCACACCTTATCACACACTCCGTAAGACTGTGTGATTAATCAGCTGAGATAATCTAAGAGTAAATGTTTGATAACAATACAACCCTATCAAAACGTGACCTGTTGGTGTCATTCCTTGAGGAGGCTACGGAAGAGGGATCAGGGTCGTCACAGTCTGGGTCAATAAGCAGGAGAAGACGAGTGTTGGGTGTGACAAGACGTCACTGGGTAAAAAGAGACTTGCAGAGCAGGTGCACTTCCATCCCTCTGAAACTAAGTTTATAGCTCAGTTTCCAGTCTATCACCATTTCTGGATAGGTAAGAGATACTCCCTGGAATCGGAAAAGAAAGTGGAATATTACAAAATTCTGGGAAGCCTTAAAAAAAAAAACCCAGAAAATGGCAAGGAAAAGAAGCTTTTAAGAAAATTCTTTCATCAGACTTTGATCTTGGGTGCTGGATTCATTCAACAAACATTTATTGAGCGCCGACGATAGCCACACATTTCCTTAAGCCAGTCCTTGGAATACTTCAAATCTCTGCCTTCCAGGAGCTTACATTTTAGATCCCAGGTCTGCCATCCTTCTCCGCTGTCTCTTCTTCTCCTTCCTCCTTATTTGGTATGCAACACCTATTCCAAGGATCGGAGCAAATGTCACCCTTTTTCTCACCAGCATGGCAGAAAAAAAGCCTGCAGGTCCCATGTTGCATAAGGCAGATAGTATTTCTAATTCCAGGTGGAATGTCCCCTACGATACAACAGAACAGAGTTGATCTTTAATTCACAGAATGCAGAAAATAAAGAAGGACCCCGGCCTACAGCCCGACCCCAAATGTTTATTATCTTCTTACAAAGCTAAGTACCTTTGGACAAGTCCAAATTTAACTGAGCTTTAGTTTCTTAGCTTTAAAATACAAACAATAATTTCTACGTCGAAACATTGCCGGGAGGACCCCGTGATGTGCTGCACGGGAGATCACCTGGCTGTGCAGGCCCTGAGCCGCCCATTCAGGCCGAGCTCTGATGTCAGCTTCTCGAGCTTTGTGGCAAGAGATGTGCTTTAAGGGAAAGCAGTGGGAGTTTTGGAAACCAGAATGGAACGATGGGGGTGGGTCTTTGTCTCTAGGAAAATTGGAAATAGCTCTGATTCTCAGTTTATGGCCCAATCTTTAATTTTATGCCCTACAACGAAAAAGGAGACAATAAAAGCCCTCTCCCCACCAGGACCTGTGTGCTTGTAAATCAGATATGACCACAACCACCTAAAGTTCCCACAAGGAAAGCACTCTGGGCAAGAGATGGTTGAAAGAAAGGTCTTACTGATGTCAGATCTGCAAATGCCACGTATCACAACTTCAAAAACAACAACAAAACTGTGTTGGTCTTGAGTGATGATAAAGAAAATCTTGCACAATAGCCCAGCTCCAAAAGGGGCCCACGCCATGATCCTGTGTCATTTCATCCTTTGCCTTGTCCCCTTGGAGGGGACGGCAAAACGAGCAGGTGGGTCCACCTTTGCTTTAGTAAAGAAAGAGGAGCTGCCAGCCTAGGCGTTTGGAGATCTGGGTTCTAGCCTTATTTCTTCCCATAACTCATTATCTCTCCTTGGATAATTTAACTGGTTACACCTCAGTTTTCTCATCTGTGAAATAGGTCACCTGTGCAAGGTGGGGAAATATTAAAAGTGTGGACATCTACTATGATTGTAATTCCCTATTGTCTGGCAGTGAATCAGCACTTTCTCTGGACTGCGGTTTTCCTCTTCTGGAGTGTGGGCTGCCATGGAAGATCTCTGATTCCCGTCCAGCTCTGACGCTTGTGTGGCTGTAACTTCCTTCTGGAAACTTCTCCCAGACCGCAGAGTGCAGTGAATGCTTCTGATGCGTATCAAAGACGCCCCTTTGACTTATGTTAAGATTCTTACGACCCTCATTTAGCTTTTACAGACTCTTCATGGGGGAGATCAAAATGGCCCAGGGCCGAGGCCCAGCGAGGCCACCTGTGCCCACCAACAACACACAGACACAGTCGCACTCTGTCCACGCACTGACACACACATGAGCGGGGTTCCTGCACCGCCCTCCCCGGGGCCAATCAAGAGACATTTACCTGAGTTGGTTTGGACCATACAGAAGAGAACAGCAAAAACAAAGAGGACCTTCATACTTTCAGGTCCCCTCGGACCTCCCTGCCCTCCTGTGCAGGGAAGCGAGTCTGATGAGCGATGGAATGAAGTGGGGCGGAAAAGGCATAAAACGGGACATTTATAGGTTTTGAGAACACTGATCAGAAATGAGCATATTTATCTGCTCTACTGAGTAAGGCTGTGGGCAGAAAGTACTGACTACTCTTCCCTTTCTGCCTAAAAATAGACAGGCTTCTTGGTGTCCAGAGAAGCAGGGATGGACCAATGACTCGACAGCTATATAGGGGTTGAAGAGGGAAGAGAACTGGCACCGCGGGGCGGCCCCGTAGCCGGGAACTGCGCTGGGTGGCGGCGATGCAGTTGTGAAGACGTGCTCCCTGCCTGCAGGGGGTTTTCGGTTGGGCAGCGTCCCCCAAGCTGAGCAGATGACCAGGCAAATGACACCCAGGAATCTGCCCTACAGAAACGGAGGCCCCTGTGCACCAAGAGACGTGCACAAGAATGTTCATTGTGGCATCATTCACTGCAGGCAACGGAACACAGCCCAGATAGCGTACTATGGCAGTGATAAAACAAGTGACGTATTTCCACAAAGCAACAAAAACAGAAAAATGACAACTATAGATGCATACAGCAACATGGATGAACCCCACAACATTATGCTGAGTGAAAAAACCCCAGATGCAACATATTATTCTAAAAATTTGGCAGAACAAATCTGTGTATTCATTAAAAGCCAAGATGTTGTCTACTTTGGGGGAAGAGGGCAGATTCTTCTCTCATTTGACAAAGTCTCCCCTCTTGAGGGGGTGGAAGTCTAGTGGGGGACACAGGGAGCCCCCGGGACCCCAGCTGGGATGTGCTTCACCAGCACGGCACAGAGACCCCACGCTCCCCACCGGCTTCACCAGCTGTGGCCATGCTACTTGCTTCCTAAGACGCATTCGTTGCTCACACAAATACAGCTCAGTGACTGTCACCAATAGCTTGAGGTTAAAAGGATACTTTTGTCCATTGTGCTCACCAAGAGCTAAACGAGTCCCCATGGTCTGCATTCCTAGGAAGTGCTAGTTCCTCTACGCACACGCTCACAGACATAGCAGTTGGGACTGGCAGAGTCCCGTGCCCTCCCGCGGCTTGGACCCTTAACTTTCTGCCCGTAACTTGTCCCCAGTGAAATAGAAATAATAACTGGCACACTGCAGCACCTTGGGCAGGCAGGTGGGAGGTGATGGCTAGAATTCCCTGAGGGAGTCTCAGAGCTCGGAGGAGGGGGAGGTCGCAGCTAAAAGAGAAGGGGTCTGGGAAGCAGATGGAAGAGAGAGAACAGATTCTCTGGAAGGGTTTTCTGGTGTCCTAAAGGCTTTAGAGGACTGGCCAGATGCTTCAGCCCACACGCACAGAAGCGTTTAGACCTAACGGAGCCATTTAGTCAGACCCCTCCAGGGGAGCCCCTCTGCCGTGTACGGGGGCTGTACATTGTTCCGGGCAGCTGCAGTGGGTTCCCACCCCTGTTGTCCCCAGATGCAATGCTAATGTTACTTGTCTTGCTCCAGAGAATTATTTTGTCTTATTGAGAAAAAGGCAGACTCTGCATTAATTAACTCAGTCTCTGTTCATTAAGACACACTAACTTTTATTTTTGTTCTTATTTCTCAGGGAGATTCCCTGGGTGCCGTAAGGTCTTTTCCCGTGATCCGAGAGACAAGATTGAGCCAGGTCAGAACAGGCCAGGCCTGCAGGCATGCCTGACCACCACAGGTGGGGACAGGAAGAAAAGTTAGGTGTGGCCATCATGCAAGTCACAGGAAGCCAAATGGGGACGGCATTGACTGAGCCTGCCGACCCCATCCCCCCAGCAGACTCCCTGGTGACAGGGACGCTCTGGGCCATGGCCCAGTCCCCAGTCGAGGGATCAAAGCCCATGGGAGGTGCAGTGGGCGGGAAGGACACGGTGTGTGGCAGGTGGGAGAGCAGAGCAGAGCAGAACTCGGGGCGGCCAGGTATGTGATCTCGCCCCCGGGTGGCCCCGAGCGACTCTCTGGCTGAAGGGCCTCGTCCCACGGGGGCACAGCTGGTCTCCATAAAACCTCTGGTTGCTGAGGGTCTCCCACTAAACAGGTTCTGTGAAAACAACAACAGCAAAGTGTAACTGATGGAATTGCTGGCTCAGAGCCGACCTTGAGAAGACATTACATTCATTCTCTTGTCTGCAAGCAGAACTGCAAAAATTACCACCGAATGGTAGAAAAAACCCATTTTTTACCTATTATGAATCTCAGAGTAGGCCCCAAATTCTCCCTGGGCAATACGCTTTAATGCTCCATCATCTTAGTGCCCGGGAGGTCCTTTCTTATGTTAAATTTAGGGCTTTCTTGGTGCCACTTAAGTTTACTACAAAATGTCTTTGCCTGTGATCAAGGGATATCTTTACATATTTATCCTTAGGCATGACTTTTGTGTTTAAAAATGTATATTTAAAATTTAAGAGTAATGCAATAACTTGACAGGGTGCTTTTAAAGATAAAAATAATTTAAAATCACCAATAATCTTAACATTGGAAACTTTATTGCTTTTGGATATACTTTTCACAATTAGTTTTACCTCGAATTTACGAACATTGGAATGCTGTAATTTTTAGGAGAGAAAACTACCTTGACTATTGTATCTTAAGCATTTAAATGGTTTTTCATTGCTTTTATATTTATTATACCTAAGAAATATATAATATCCCTTTAAGTAGATGTACCATAGTTTGCTAAGATATTGCTCTGTTTTGAACATTTAGTTTTTTTTTTTTCAAAAAGTTTCTGGAAATATTTTTGTTATTTCCTGAGGATAATTTCTGGGAAGCAGAACTGAGACAATGAGAACAAGTGTTTTTTGTCTTGCAGGTATATGGACGATGGCTTTACAAAGAGGCGAGATCAATTGTCGGTGCTTCTGGTTTCGTACGTAAGTTCTAGTTTGGTCAGACCTTTGTTGTCCCTGGGCGTCAGCCTCGTGTGAGTGCACCTGCGTGTGAGGTAAGCACGGGACACCTTTATTCGGAAAGAAGCCTGGAAGGGTGGGATTCTGTAACAGGGTCTGCATGCCTAGTTTTGTTCACTCTGAGCCCCGGGATCCGATTGCAACCCAGATACCTACACATAACAATGTCTGGAATGATTCTTCACTCATGAGAGAAAGAGTAAAGAGAATGATAGACTCAAGATTTTGTAACATGAGTTATAAACAGTTTATAAATAATTAACGCCTAAGACAGTTGCCGCTTATGAATATTTAATAGAAAGGTTATGCAAATTCCATTATTTCCTCACTATTTATCTATTAAAATATTCATGAAACTTCTTTTAAGTAGAGATACTCCGTACAAAATTATCAAACAGGTTCCATCCGTGGAACACACTCATCCTTTCTCACCTCTCGCCTGCTCACTCACCCCACCTAGACTACCACGGCTGCTCTGCGTGAGAAAGCAGAGGTTGGCAGGCCATGTAAAACTATGAGAAGCTTCAGCGAAATCCTCACTTAAAAAGAAGTGAAAGAGATTGAACTGAAGTGGGTGCCACTTCAAGAGAAATAGTGCAGTTTTTTTTAAGTTAATGTATATTTATTCTTAATGAGATTTGAGAAGCCATGGTTTATTCGGTAAAATGAGAAACAGATTCCATGAGAAAGTCACACTTGAGAAAGAAAAAGACTATTTGCAAATATAAGATTGCTTAAAAGTAAATAAAAATCTAATAACTGAATTTGAAGATTCCCAAATAATAAAAAATAGAAAGGCACTACAGAAAGAGAAATTGGTGATCTAAAAAGAAATATCTGAAAAGTAGAGAGTGAAAGGGAAAGGCATGGAAATTATGGGTGAAAGATAATAGATAGGGAGGATATTTCAAGGATAACTAGGGTTAAACAGCAGCCATTTCAAGAATAGGTCAGGTAATTGCTGGAGGAAAGAATATGTGAGGTTAGATATAAAAGGAGCACATACACATTGACAAGAACAAAGTAGTAACACAATAAAACTATGAAAGTTTACATAGAAGAAAAAATGCTCAATAAACAAATGAAAAATGCTCCACTACACAGTAATCAAGGATGTACCAGATTGATGTCGGCAAAATGGTGGAACCAAAGGCTCTTGTCTTTCTCTTCTCCCATTGATGGGTTTATATAAGTATAAACACACACATCAATTGTCTCAGAGAGAAAGCCTGAAACTAGT